TCTCTCCTCTCTCTCTCTCTCTCTCTCTCTCTCTCTCTCTCTCTCTCTCTCTCTCTCTCTCTCTCTACTTCTCCCCCCTCCCCCTCTCTCTTACCTTGCTTCCTTTTTTTTACTTTTTCTCTTTCTCTTTCTCTTTTCTCCCAAACAGGGTACTGAATAATTATCTGGTTTGGCAAACGGTGAAATCACTAACCGCCTGCCTGTCGAAACCGTTTCGCGACGCTTACAAGGGCCTGAGGAAAGCTTTGGTCGGTTCGGAAGGCCGGGAGGAGCAATGGCGTTATTGCGTCAGCGATACGCATAACGCGATGGGTTTTGCGATCGGTGCCATGTTCGTTAGAGAAGTTTTCCATGGAAAGAGCAAACCCATGGTTAATTTACATTTACTCACTTATATACTTTTCGATAATAATGATAATAATAATAATAATATTATTATTATATATATATATAAAATTATTAGTTAGACACGTGCTCTCCGTTTCTCCCTATTTCGTTGGGAGCACGTTTCACGGGCGAATTCGGCTTTAAATCGGGATCAAATCGATTCCAGGCGGAGAAGATGATCGATCAAATACGGAAAGCTTTTACCAAGAATTTGAAGAATCTGGATTGGATGGATCCGGAAACGAGGCGGGCAGCCGAGGAGAAAGCGAACGCGATTACCGACATGGTCGGTTTCCCAAATTTTATCTTGAACCCGTACGAGCTCGACGAACGTTACAAGGATCTGGCGATCAAGCAGAACGAATACTTTCAAAATAACATACGGGTGAATAAGTATAATTTGCGAAAGAATCTAGAAAAGTTGGATCAACCTGTGAACAGAACTACGTGGATCATGACACCGCCAACGGTGAACGCTTATTACTGGCCTACGAAAAATCAAATGGTTTTCCCAGCAGGTATCCTTCAGAGCCCATTCTACGATATGGAAAATCCGAACAGTTTGAATTTCGGTGGTATAGGGGTCGTGATGGGACACGAATTGACTCACGCGTTCGACGATCAAGGTGAGCAAGTGGAGACGACGTTTCCTGTTTACGCGCGAAATCAAAAATATAACATATAATTCGTGTTCGTATTTATCCGTCATTCTTAGGAAGGGAGTACGATTTGCACGGGAACTTGAATCATTGGTGGAACAATGCCACGATAGAGAGATTCAAAAATAGAACGGAGTGTTTCGTCAAGCAATACAGAAATTTCGAGATAAATGGCCGACACGTGGACGGATTGCAGACATTGGGTTAGTCGCGTTACCGTTCGCAAAATATCGTAATGGTATTTTATACACACACACACACA